ACACACACACACACACAAAAGCCCTAAGCCACCCTGAACTCCCCCAACAACCCGAAAACCCTAGCCCCCCCCCCGGCCTTCCCAGTGCCCCACCCAAAACCTATGGTGTCCTGAACATGAATTCTACCTTTGTGACCACCAATGATCCCCAAACCCTAAACCCTCCAATTCACTTTGTTTGGGAGAGCACCGCAAATGAGGACCCTAATCCCTGAACCCCAACCTCGAAGGGTTTAGGGATCCTTAAGCTCAAATCCCTAAGCTCTGATCCTTAAACCTTAGTCCACAAACCCCAACACATGTTTCCACATTCTGAAAAATTCCCTGGGGAGCCTGGCGAACGGCGTGGAAATCGGCTCAGACGTCGGCGTCAGATGTGGGGACCCCCGCCAAAATAAAGCCTGAACACCTTCCTATTTCCCAGTTACCCACGTTTTTGTGCTGTAAGGGAGAGGGTTTTCACCCTCTGGGTTTCCTGAAACTATCCAACACGACCCCCAGTGGTCGGTGGATGAACCCTAATCCCTAAACTTAAGCTCTAAACTCCTAAACCCTAAGCTCTAAACTCCGAACCCTAAGCCCTATAAACCCGAAACCACAGGTGCCGAGTTTATCAACTCGGAGCTTGGCATGACCTTGGCAGATGCCACAGTGGCGCAGCTGGGCACCTGTCCGGGGCACAGAAGTAATGGGTTTGGGGAACAGGGTTTAGGAATTAGGATTTAGGGCTTAGGGTTTAAGGTCAGGGTTTAGGGATTCGGTTGTATGTGTATATGGCTTCGGGCATTATAGGGTTTACTATGAGGTATCAGCGATAAGGGTGTACAGGGGGTTCGCTAGGGATTCGGGAATAGGATTCAAACATTAGAGTGGAGGGGTGAGGGTGTTATGGATGCGGGTTCAGGGTTAAGAGACTCGAGTTTGGGGACTCGGGTTGGGGGATGAGGTCTTCGGGATTTGGCTTGAGGTTTCGGGGACTATGGCTTAGGGATTCTGATTTGGGGAATGTAAGGATTAGGGATTCGGGAGGAGCATGATCTTGTGGTGGCTAAGCTAAAGGGATGAGCGTGCAGGGTATAGGACCTAAGGCTTAGGATTTGGATTTAGGGTTTTGCGTTTTGGGACTGGGCAAGTCAGGAAATCATGGCCATGGCTGGTGCTATCATACAGCGTAAAAGTTGGGAGGACCCCCCACCCTTGTAATAGTGCTATAATCGGACTATACACGGACCCATAATATACTAATACTTATTATCCGCTATGGTCACTATTACGGCGTGGGTGGTCCACGTAGCATATGGTAGTGTCCCAAAATAAGGGGACCCCAATATAGACCCCAAAATACTTTAGTCCTTATTATGGGGACCCACCCCCAAAAAGGTACCCCAATTTTGGGAAACTCCCATATAATGCCTGCATCAATAATTGGCTCGTGCCTGAGTTTGTGCGATCAGGCCCCAAGTTTGGGGTGTTGGATTTATAGTCCCCCTTAAGTAGATAGAATATGGGGTATATGGGGATCTGATTATAATATATCCCAAAACCATATTCTATCTACTTCAGGGGGACTATGGGCTTAAGGTTCAGATTTAGAGTTCAGGGTTTAGTGTTGAGGCTTCCGGATCTGGACTCTTGCGCTTGGGGCTTAGCAGGTTTTAGGCGCGCGCTTTGGAGTTCGCAGTTTAGCTTCCGTGTTTTTTTGTTTTGTGGGGGGCGGACTCCATATATGAGTAGTACCCAAAGCCCCTAGACTTGATTTTAGCCTTATCAGGGATGGTGGTGATCCCAAAGTGCATAAGCCCTGAACCTACACGAAACTCATTTAAAAGAGTGGCTTCGGTAAACCCACCCCCGAAAAGCAGGACCCTGTAAAAGTCATATGATGGTCATAGGGTCCCCATTGTGGCGGTTGAAGCCCGTACAACCCAAATTTGGGCGCCATAGTTACGGACTTTGGCGCCAACAGTAGGCGTTATCTGAGGCACTAACGAGTTACCACATAGCGACCTTGCTTAAGCCTTCTTTATCCCTGTATCCCATGTACCCCTTCTGTACCCTCACCCATTGCAATCTCCCCGCCTGTAGTTGGTCCTAACATTCTGTACGTATGGATATTAATGCCCAAAGAAGGCAGTATGTACCTAAGCCCCAAACCCGAAACCCCAAATCCCAAACCCTAGACCGTAAACCCTAAACATTATCATTAAACCTTAAACCCTAGACTCTAAACCCCAACCCTAGACCCTACACCCCAGACAGGGGGATACTAAGAGGCCCTTAGGTCTGAGGTTTCAGATAGTGCCGAACGAGGTGAGAAAGTTGTGGTGGAGAAGGAGAAGGCGCGCTTTGGCTTGTGTAGACCGATTCGCTTGCTTCGAATATCAGCAAAGTCTATGAGCCATAATCTGAACTCCCAAAAGGGGGCTGTACAAGGGATTGTATAAGCACTACTATAATCGGGGATATCTTGGGAGATACCATGAGTTCAGACTATGGCTCATATAGGGGTTCCCCAGAATTCGGGGCACCTACCATATTCATACTGAGTTAGAGTTAGTGTGTGGATGAGATGCAGCGGGGAAATTCTGAAATGTAGCCATATAAGGTTCTCGATAGGACTCTCAGTGTGCCTTTGTGACCGAGCAATACCTTAACCGAACCTACCAAAACCTACTTTTTTTGTAGGTTCCTATTATAATCCCTACTTTAGAATTTATATTTTGGGAACCTACAAAAAAGTAGGTTTTGGTAGGTTAAGGTATCCCTGGGTTCTCTCACCCTAAACCAGCTCAGGATCAGAGTTCGGGTTTGCCGCCCAGGACAGTCCTCTGGAAAGCACGTCGTCTTGCCAGATGCCCTTAAGCCCCCACGCTACTTAGTGGTGGTTAGTAGGGAAGGTTGTAGTAAACTTTTTAAGGATTATATAGGCAGCTATTCCCTTATTCCTTACTGACCACCAGTAAGGAATTGAAGCAGTACTACAGCAGCCCACTGATTTCCCAAATCCGAGACCAAGCTATATGCCCCAAAATCACAAACCCCTAAACTCCAGCGTGTGAAGGCCGTCCTTGTGACTGATGGCAGCCATGCGGATGCTGTTAAGGCCTTCAAATGGGGCACAGAGCTGCAGGTGTTTCCGGTTTAAAATGGTTTAGGATTTAGGGCCCAGTGCTGGTTTTATCATGTTTGGCAGGGCTACAGGAGTGGTATGCAGGGGCTCATTTGTCGGGATGTTGTCGGGATGAACTGTTTAGCTTCGAAATGTGCAGAGCCCGTCGGGATCGGACAGGGATTGTTCAGGGATAACTTCAGGCTGAGGATTAGTGTCATGTACAGGCAAGTCTGCATTCAAAAGCCCAACAGTGTCATCCTTTTCGTGGTCCAGGGCAGGTCCTGAAGAGTTCAGACACGGCCGGTTGGCAACCTCCTGGTTCCAATAAACATCGCACAGTTTAGGGTTAGGGTTTAGGGTTATCCCCCAATCCCTGAACCTTAAACCCTTCACCCTAAACCCTAAACCCTAAACCCCATGTCCCGTACCCTAAGCCGTTATTCAGATTAGTCTTCAGATGTCCGGGCTTAAAGGGGTGTAATCTCAGAATCTACAGAACAAGCTTTTTCATGCTTGGAGGTTTAGGGCATTAATTATGGCCCAAATACAACTGGTACTTTTTATCCAAGTATAACCATAATTCGGGCGCTGAGGGGCTGATAGTTGGGTTCTTTTTACGGCTATAATGGGGTTATAACATGCCTACCCGACCATACCCCATAAAACCTGTATACCCCTAGAACGCCTTCAAAGGGACCCTGCACGACCCTAAGAACAGGGTTATGGTTGCTCGGCAAGTAGGAGTGGCGAGGTCAGGGTACGGGTTTAGGGTTTATAAGGCTTGGGGTTGCAGTGTTGGGGTTTAGGGTTTAGGGTTTACCTACCAAACCTA